CCCACCCAGACACACTCGGAGTGTGCTTTTCTAATCCTCCTGGCAGCTGTAATCAAGTTGACAATTAAGCTTGACTATCACAAACCTAAGTCAAATGTTACAGCCAAACAATGTATCAAACTAAAACTTACTTTTATTGATGAAAATGAAGGAAGGCCACATCTGACTTTGCAAAACAATGGTTTCAACGAAAGGTGAAGTCAGTGTTGGAAGCAATGGAAGCACATATTAAAAATATGTCAGCTGGGGATTTAGCTCAGTGGTTCCACTGCCTGCCTCATAAGCGCAAGGTCCCGAGTTTGATCCTGGTACAAAATATATATATATATATATATTCCAGGGCCAGGAATTTAGCTCAGTTCCGCTGCCTGCCTCGCAAGCAAAATGTCCCAAGTTCAATCCCTGGTACAATTTAAAAAAAGTCAATTCCAACAAAAACAGTGCATAAAATGTTGTTGGTACACATGTTGAATATTATAACTTCAATTCTCACAAGCAACCAAGCTTATAATTCTCAGATTACAGCACTTCATTGGTATTTTTGAACCTCTTTGCTTATCACCTCGCATCTAATTTACTCTTTCTTCCTCTTACAAAGAAAATATCTATTTTAAATCTGGGATTTATCCTTTCAGTTAATATTGTTACACTTTTATTCTACCTATTTAGATCTTAAAAGTATTTAGCATTATTTTTTGCCCATTTTAACCTATACCTATAGAGTTATCTACTACATATACTTTTACACTTGATTTTTCATTTTTCAGCAGAAAATGTGAAGGATTAATCTATGTTGGTGTTTTATTTCTATTTCTTTCTATAAACCATTCCATTGAATGAATTATATCAGTAGGTCCTATTTTTAATGTTTGTATTGTTATTTGCTTCTTTTACCTTTTATACTCTCAAATTTTTTCATCCCAATAGCAGTGTTGTGATACACACTTGCATGCCCAGGTATTAGTAGGCCAGGGAACATATAAAATTTCACCTTTACTACATGTTACACTGACCTACAAATTAGTTTCCCCATAAAAGAACCACCCACAAGCACTGGATGAGAGTTCCTAATTTAAATTTTCTGGTAGTGGTATAGAAACTCTCTTTAGGAAAGCTCAGTAAAAAATCACTTAAATGACAATCACTGTGTACCACTTGAATGAGAACACAGTGAAAGGAATTCTTATGATGTAAAATGCCACTTTGTACATCAGTGATAAAGCTGGATCCTAGAGTCTCTGAGCCATTGAAGGAACAACAACATGGGTATGTATCACTAGGTCGTGAATAATTTTAAAATTCCAAAATCATTTTATAAATACCTAAAATGTGACAATGATACTAAAGGAAACTTTATAGAATAGTTTTAATGATGGATTATAGCTAAAGAAAGTAGGTATAGAACTAAAGTACACATTCTGTTGTATTAATACATATTCTGTGTAATAAAATTAATGATTAAAATAAATCACCCCAAATGCTTTTTTAAGCCAAAGAAGAAAGGGATAAAAACATCCACTAGTAAAAGAGAAGAACTGTCTTATCTTTGTTCAGTGGGCTTTAAGACTGACAGGTACCTACTCAGACTATAAATGGTAAAAGTTAATAGCATGTTTTCTATTAACATTAATGTATATTTCTAAACACTGGTAGTTGTTTATGTAAGTCACAGAATGATTAACAGTTTTGTACTAAAAAGATCAATCCTATTGTTTACTCTTTCATTCTCTCATTCAAAACATTATATTTGTGAAGATACTTCTGTGAGAAAACATAGTATAAAGACGATTCTATTTATATATACGACCTGATTTAAGCAGTTCCTGTCTTTCACACCTAAAGAAATATTTACAATTCAAGGGAAGAGATAGGATCACACCAAACATCAGACTTGAGCATTTAGAATTTGTTGGTTCCATATTCTTCAGGTCCAATCAGAAGGTCCTTCTTCCTTTGTGAGAATATTTTGAGTTTCCAGATTCACAATATCACTTACACTTACATTCTATACTTAGGATTGCAGGGTGCAGTCTCAGAGATGGAGAAATATACAAGAATATGTATATATCTCAAAAGATATAATCTTAATCTGAGGGAAAATTGAAGGTGTATTTCACTGAACAATTATTAGATTCACAAAAATGAGTTAGTGGGGAAGTTTCTGGCACTGCGCAAAGGATTGTGTTAGTTTTAGAATTCAGAGACTATGTTTTCTGAGTTTTCAGACTTAATATTCTATCTCTGTATAAGACCTTTAAGTCTTTGTTTGCTGAAGAAAAAGAGCATGAAATGTAAGGCCTAGAAGTCGCATTGTAACACTGAAGGCTGACCAGGTGCTGAGGGACTTCATGCTATTTATTTAACCATGTTGTAATGCCCTTTCCAATCCCAAATTCATTCTTGCTCTAGAATATTATTGAAATGGGACTTGTGAGATACACAGTCCATTTCAACAAACAGCAATCTAATTCTTCCTTTACACATTCCAAGGAAGAGGAAGAAAAATGGTACCTTGTCAGGTTTTACATAGGCTGAGGTGAGCAGAAAGAAACTCCAGAATCCTAACTGCCAAAAGGCACCAGAGCAGACTGTGATACACATAGACAGATATGTCAGAAGACACATGTATGAGTGGTTTAATCTGTTCAACTGAAAGACTGCAGTATGAATAGTCACACAGGCTCACCTCCAGGGCAGCCAGCATTACACTCTGTAAAGAATCCCATTGATAAGAATCAATATGTGTGATTGATCTTAACTACAAATACTTCATCAGAAGCTGAGAAAAGGGGCATTACCACTTAATTCTGCCCTTTTCCTGGCTTTAGTTCCAACTTCTTTCCATGGTAAGAGAGACAGAAGGGGGCCAGAAAGTGGGTTTCCCATTCACCCCACTTCTCCAAGATGTTTTATACAGCAAAGCCATGTGCGGATGTGGATACAAAGTGGGACAAAACTATAAGATCCAATGGAAAATTACAAGGTGGGCATGAGGTGGAACAACATATGACCAACCAATAAGAATAAAAGCACAGTCACCCAGGTAATATTGATCAAGTGCGGGCCAAATGGGGGAGCAAGTCATGTGGCAAGCATACAAGGATTTTCAGTAAGGGTGGGGGTCAGGGATATTTCCTAGAAAGGCTGGGCTAGGACCTTGCCCCTCCACCCAGCCAGCTTCTTTCTTGTCAGAACTTCTTTTCCAACTTGGTCCCAACTTCTTTCATGTCAGAAAAGCCCATGATTATCTGATTTTAAAGCAATGTGTCAGGTAAATTTAAATTTTAGGTATCTCAAGTTGAAATTTACAATTCAGGGATAAAGGAATTTTGCATGTTTTGAATCCAATGCTGAGCTTACAGTGGGATGAGTATGTCTTTTATGCTGTTCCCTCGTACAAACAAAAGGACTGGAGCTTCTAGTCCCTAGACAACACCTAAGGTATCATAGCATCGCCTCCTGGAGACACAGACACTCTCGTGGGCCAGAATTAGAAAACCTTGATCAGTATGAAAAGAAGCAAATACTCCATCGGCCACAGGCTGTTCTTGGCCTTGTAGATGCTGCTCATCCTCAGAAAGGAGACAACCACACTTACGACATCTCAAGCTCCTAACACAGGTTTAAAAACAGGGTCTTCCCATCCTTTTGATTTCATCCAGTATTATTCATTTGACTTTTTTTTTCTTTCCTTGAGTTTATTGTACTTTTTAGGGTTATAGTACAGTTACATTCATTGTTGGGATCTTGCACCTTTACATGGTAGATCTTAGGGCCAGGGATTTAGCTCAGCGGTTCGGTGGCCTGCCTTGCAAGCGCAAGGACCCGAGTTCAATCCCCGGTACAAAAAAAAAAAAAAAAAAAA